ATACTTTATGTCCTTTATATACTTTATATCCTTTATATCCTTTATATACTTTATATCCTTTATATCCTTTATATACTTTATATACTTTATGTACTTTATATCCTTTTTATCCTTTATATACTTTATATACTTTATGTACTTTATATCCTTTATATCCTTTATATCCTTTATATACTTTATATACTTTATATACTTTATGTACTTTATATCCTTTATATACTTTATGTACTTTATATACTTTATATCCTTTATATACTTTATATACTTTATATACTTTATATCCTTTATATCCTTTATATCCTTTATATACTTTATATCCTTTATATCCTTTATATACTTTATATACTGTATATACTTTATATCCTTTATATCCTTCATATACCATATCCTTTTTATACTTTATATCCTTTATATACTTTATATATTGTATATACTGTATATACTTTATATCCTTTATATACTTTATCTACTTTATATACTTTATATAAGAAACAATTTGATCACAAAAAATGAGGTTTCACTATTCGATATACCAATTTGTCACAAATACAAAATCGATTTATGCTGTAACTGTTAAATGACAAAATATAATATTTACCGTATATCTATTCTATATAAGGGACTTGTATTGCTTCGTATCTTGACACTAACTAAATATATATCGGCATCTATTGTTATATGTCAGCTCCAATAGTCTAATAAACTGTAAATACAGCAATTCGATAAAATACTGTGCGGGTAAGTTAAGCACAACGCAGCGATATTTAAATTTGACAGAGAAAACACTAACAACAGTCTATTAGGAATTAAATCTTACTTACAGTTACGAAATATTGCTTTCCTTGTATATCAGGTTTGATAACATTAACGAATATCACAGATATTAAATGTAAATTCGTATATAAACTGGAGACTCGATTTCTACGATTGAGCGAAATTAGATCACAATATTATACTTACGACCTCATATTCAAGGCCGACCGGAACCGGTTTTGTGTCTCTAATTGGTATCCTGACATTAAATCACCAGATGACGAATGTATTCTGATCACGCGATCTCATCTCTAGTATATAATTAGTACCAAGGACCGGTTTGCAGATGACTAATAACAGCGTATATGTAATGAATTCACTTCCTCAATTAAATACAGAGAACGAACGAGACCTTAATGTAACAAAGGTGATACTCCTTAGTACGTTTGATGCATTTTAAAACAATATTGTATCTCAATATCGGATCATACATACGCGTTTGTCCCATGACATTATATAGAAAATAACATATTTAAACCCATAAATCCTGAAAAATATTTTCTTTGAAAACAATGGATAGCCATGTAAAAAAAAAAACTTACGTGGTCAAGGACGACGGTTCATAGATTTGACTTGTGAATATTTCACAACATTACGGTCGTTTGGCCTTATTGGTATATAAGTTATAGACAGAAAGGGACGGCGGCGGCCAGGTGGTTAAGGCGTCTAACATTCTGCTACAACCACAAGCCATCCACCACTGGGTCGCGGGTTCGGGACCTACGTTGGACAGTCGCCAGGTACTAGCCGTATGTCGGTGTTTTTTTCTCCGGGAACTCCAGCTCTTCCTCATCGCCAAAACATGGAACGTCTTTGAATGACCATAACTGTTAATTGGACGTAAAACACAAACAAACCAAGCCAGATTATAGACAGAGAATCCTAGTCTTTGGAAGAATAAGTCCGGTGCAGAAATTGAAGTCGAGCAATTGTACCAAATAATTGACGTGTGCAGTTCCGCATTATGCCTGTGTTCTTTTAGTGTAACACTACATATTGTATTTTTATGAATGATCTACATACATAAAATGCATAGCAAACCTTGATAGAATAGAATACTTTGGCGTTACTACGATGTCAGCCGATAAGGAGGACCGGAATTAATCTCAATGACAATATTTCATTTTTCAAAATTACATCATGTGATTAAACTCCAAGTTGTATACTCTTCAGCGACGTCATTGTGTAACTGACAGCCCATTGAAGCGTGACGTCATTGTGTTACTGACAGCCCATTGAGGTCTACACGATAGGACTATAGAGAGCTGTTCTATATCGGAAATACATTATAAATGTGAGAAAATCACAATTACATGCATCGATGTGCTTATGTTATTCTGTTCTCAAGATAGGTTATACAAAGATAAAAAGACAACGACCATGTGTCTGCCGTGCACGTGTCTCAGAATTACAGGAGGTCTACCTAGTTTTCTATCATTATATGCTGATTAACAGGATCAAAATCAAATCGCCTGTGCTGAAAAACTAAATAGATGATAAACAGGTATTAGTTTCGACATGTGCTTTTCCTTGAGGTAGTCTTAATATTATTGGTGTACGAAAATACATCTGTTTTCCGGATACTTGCGTTTTATTAGTCAATGATAAAACAGTATGTTGTTTATATAGAAAAAGTGAAGATATACTCCTGCATTGCTTTTTTGAAAATGTAGACATTTTTTTCACGTGCCCTAAGGAAAAATCTTCGTCTATGCAATCTTTTCTACATAGCTTGCTCGGCATTTTTCTGTCCATGAAGCAGGTACTTTTTCGATAGATGCTTTTAGTCATTAAATTGGATATTATCAGTATTGTCATTTCTTTTACGCAGTATATGGTTTGTGAGTTAAGTTTCTTGTCAAACGCCAATTCCCAAACGTAGTCAGAATCGGAAGTAAACGTAAATTTTATTTAGTTCATACCTCTGTCTTCTTGATTTCCGAATTATATACACATACGATTATTATAAACACACTAACTGATATGTGATCAACACGCTACGATATATAATGCATTCATAATGATAAGTGTTACAAACAACGATTAAATGTTGGATAAACCTGTTAATATATACGCTGTATTTTCCCATCGATCGTCACGGTAAAACCTCTGACCGATACGATACGTCAATGTTTAATTCTAATACTGCATAATGAATCGATGAAACATGGTTATTGTCTGTAGAATAGGAAATGAGAGGACCAACAAACAGACAAAAAACGTCCTTCAATCTACCACAGCAAATAAATAAAAAGTATCATAATACTGGTAAATCAGACTGAAGTAACATGTTGGGACATCATGTTAGTTTGCTGAGAGTGACTGAAGCTGATGTTCCAGTCTAGCCACGAATGTATCGTACCGAACGTTGGTTTATCGTGTCGAGGGGAGTTTTCTGACGGGGAAGTATTAAGTATCAACAAGACATTTAATTATTTCTATTTCGTTATATCAATTAGAGGGATTTGAGGAATGCTAAGTAGTTTAACTCACGCAAGTGTTGGACAGAACGGACAAGGCGTTGTTTACCAACATGCTTTAGGTTCTATACCATCCTTCAGATCAAGTATTTAGATCAGTTTAACACTTGTCGATGATATCTGTGTACATACACGATGGAAATTTTGAACATCATTTTTTCAAAGAATGATTTTCAAGTATGCTTGGATGATATTGATATGAAGGCAATCTTAATTTCCTATACAAATACACACAAAACATCTTAATATTATGCACACGGTATTTTTAAGGTCATTATCAAAAAAATATTTTACTGTCCTATTTTTGTGTACTACACACCATATATTAATCAATTAAGTAGAGTTGTATAACACCATGAGACTCATGTCGACCAGGGATAAAAGGCTCACTTCAACACTTGAGGCCTATAACTCTCACACTCCGCATAATTAGCACTACTTACGTATCTCATGTTTCCGCTACTTAACAAGGTGACATTTGTTTCACTTAAAAAGAGGTTCACTACCAGCCTACACGATAGAAGGAGCATATCTAATACCGTACATTACATTGAATAATTCATTAGACTGATCCAACACTGTCTCCAAGGTGTGATGATATGAGCACAACATCCTTAAGGCCAAACCTAAATACATTGTAATATTGTGTTTCCTGTTCAGCGTTTGATTAAATAAGACATACATGTCGTAACTTTATTTTTATAAAACCAAGCCGTGGTGTTAAATAAATAAACTTACGTACTGTATTTCTTATTATATCAAAGGCTGAAGCGGTGATGATTTTTTTTCACACATTTGAAATGTACCAGAAAGAGAGCATGATAAACAGGAATAGGTAGAATGCTTGTGAACAAACTAGATAATTTCGATTTGTTTAAACTTTTGAAAATTGTATGCTGAGCGCTTTACAGTAGGTGAAGGTAACCATTTGATAAATGTTCCGTTCAATGTTTGTTAAACACCTCCTTATTATAAAGTGTGATCTAACGTACCAAGGTCAACTATTTGTCATTCCTTGTTCTAACTGATACGTAGGAGGCTAGAAAAGACTATAATGCTACCACATACAATGCTATCGATTATATGAGCTAGGTTTGTTACTAAGAGCAACCTGGCTATATATGTATAAAATGTTCAAAGTGGTGCCACTGGTTCAATCCTATATGTTTAACGTGTTACTATGATTCATACAGAAAACAAGATAATCAGCGAACGTCAGATCACGCAGAAAAAAACCAGAGATGAATACCACAATGGACGCCGAATCACGCCGAAGCAAAGCTAAACATAAATAATTCCGTGTGTATCTAAATTCAATGTATGCCAAAGTGACAGGTTCTGACACCAAACCGTATGTGACTGATCAATAGATGTGGACATCACTATCAGGCTGTAAGGTTATATAAACATGTTAAATGTCTTATACAAGCAAAGTGAAAGTAGAAAACTTGATAATGTGTAAACATAACATCGAAATGAAGCAGAGATGATTTTTTTTTTATTATTATCACTCATATTGAGTTAACCATTTCACTAATTGAAAGGACCGTAGACGTGACATACAGCCTGCGTAACATGACTTCGGTATGCCTGTTATACTACAGCCTGTTGGAACACGATAACATTCATAACGTCACCTTGGTAAGTACAGTGATAACGTGGTATAAATACAGTAACACCATCACACACCTACACACTCGTACTCACCTCACATCATCGACGTTACGGCTTAGGATCCTTGAGAGTGAAGCGTGAAGTTTGCTCGTCCTTTGTGCTACGCGAATGTAAACAGCTAATAGTTGTAAACACCGATTCACATTGATCAGCAGAGAACAACGCCATCCAACACAACCAGTCAGTGACGTCATAGAACTATACCCTCCCTCTGTGTACGGGTTGGGCAGATATTGATCCGGGCCGGTAACTGCCCCATACGATTGTGACCAGCATCATGCACACCTCCTTGTTTCGTACAATGTAGCTCAATCAACATACGTTTACGCTCTACCGTATAGCACACACCCACTATGTGCACGGCAGTGTGAACAACACCAGAGCTTCATCCCGTTCCTTACGTATCAGGATATCAACTCGCTGTTACCGCTTCCACTAGTATTACTGCGACGTATTTGATATAGCTGGTAAGGGTGTGTTGTGCTGTAAATACCCCTGCTGAACGCCGCCGTGTATGTATGTTTGTATCTCCTGCCTGTTCGCCTCATTTCATTATCAATAATGTGGTCGATTTAGAGTATCTCCTTTCGTAAGATACATTTAAACCCCGTGAACCGAACTTGTCCTGAAGTTATATCATCGAAATACCTTTTTACAAATAACGGGTTTCTTCTGTTTCAAAACCATAAACAGCACATCTCAAAATGTTCACTAAAGAGATTTTTTGTGCGTGATTACCAGATGTTGACGGTTCCAGCAATCCTTGTACTGCATCTCACCAGGTCGATGGATCAGTGTGTTAACCCATTCAACTCTTCACTGTCATTCTGTTTCAATCTCTATTACTATGCTCTTTGTTATTAAATTGATGTCCAATACTACTAAAAGTCTATGCTGATTCCCTGCTACAAATCTAGTCTGTAGATAGCATTTCTCAGCATGGTCAGTGGTGCTCGTGTATGTCAGCAATATATCGGGCGGTGGCTTACAGTTCAGACGAGTTCAATACTCCTAGCATATCCATTGTACATGTAAACAACATGGTCAATATTGAACAATTAATCTTCTAGTGTAGAACATTTATATTGAGCTTCTACGATTTTAATTCTGGAACTGATACAGATATTTGTATCTTGTCGTCGATGTATGGTTAGCTTAAATGCTTATTTATACAACATAGGCAAATCATAAAACACATGAGATAAAGATTGGCTCATATAACAGAGAAAAAAAAGCACAGAGGAGTATTTTTCACATATCTAAGAGTATGTTGATATAAATATTTCAATGTACATTTATTTGCTAATCAATTTTAGAATTGGTTTTTATCTTACAATTTATGTTATATGATGACGATGCTCCTCGCGAAGGTTGTGACAAACGTGCCACGTTATAGTACCACTGCACTAAAATATCTTATTAGAGACATAAAGGTTCCCTCAACGAGTGATGGTTTGTTAACATGTTTGTCTTACTCGAGTTACTTAATTTTCAATATACAATATAAAGACACGAGGTCTAAATTAAAGTTAAATTTTACAGAAGAAAATTCATTTAATAACGTTTACAATTTTGACCAATCGTCAGTTATGTGATAAATATTGCCACACGCTGCTGCATCACTATGCTGCGTTGTTTACTACTCTGAACAACTTTATTCGCGACGTATGAGCCGTCATGGACGTGCTATTGTATCGTACTTACTACATTGAGATATCTTGTCATGGAAATACGAATATGGCACATCTCTTAGTCACGTGGTTCTGAAAGGTGACCGGGCGGAAGTACATCCGAGATGTTTACTAGAGCTTCAATGATTTGCAATGATACATCAAGTCAACGTTATTTTCCTGTTTGCTTTATTTTCATAGATAACACAGAAAAACCCCACTTCTGATTATGCAGCAGTGAAATATGACATGTTGCCTATACGATCATGAAGCAGGATATAACAGGTCATTTCAGCAACGGTCACTGGACATACAACGATAGTCACGCAGAAATTCAGCAATCCGATAATTGCTGGTCCAATCTTATCATAAAGTAATGCGGTTCCAATTCGTATATCTTTTAACGGCCAATTCAATATTATTCCACAATTTCTAAATGTTTAAGTTATGGCGTCACCCTGTAAAATATAGACTCGAATAAGACATGATACCACTGTAAATTATATTAAACGACATTAAAATATGACTCACATTGAATCTGCACGTGATAGTAAAATTGTAAAAATTTCAACCCTACTTTTGTATTAGTTGTCAACATTCCGCAATGGTATATATTACACTGATATGTGTATATAATGAATGTCTGTTTGTGGAGACATGGTCGGGAAGTCTGTATACATAACATGGAGGTTAAATATCCCGTGAATACATCTGTAGGTCATGTCACCTGAACATAATATTAACACTTTTGTGAGATACATTTTTCTTTAAAAACGAACTGTTTATGATTGACATCTTTCTGAAAAATGTGGGCAGAAATGATTCATAGCTTATAACGAAATCTAACAGTCGTGGTTGAAAGAATCCTTGTTTCTGCGACTATATTCTTCTCATTTATTAATTCTCATAATAATTATTATAAATAGGGATATTTTGAATGGTCAGTTTTATATCACAAAACAATGTGTTATTAAGGATCATCTTAGAACAAATGAACTAACATTTTTCTCGTATTAGTATCGCGCCCCTGCCTCAAATAGATAACTTCCAATTGATATCTCGCTGCAGATGTGCCTTCAGCAGGATGTACATTAAGAAATAATTGCCTAATTACTGAGCCAACAGCAGGATGTAGAACCCGGACTTTATCAGAACGAAAGACCCTGTTAGGCCTCATGTACGACTATCACTTTGGATCTTTATATATTGTTTTTCGCAATAAATTCTTCCCTTTTTCACTTCTTATACCTCCTTATAGGTAGATTGGAAAATACTGTCCTACCATACAGGATATGGGGATGTGTAAACCACAGTTATCAATCAATTGTCAAATGCAACATTCTCTTTAGTATTTTTATTATTTCTAATATCTAACTATCCAGCGATCTAGCACAGAGATCCGTAGTCTTTGAAACAGAATTTGCATACTTTATCCCTATGCATGATCTTATATTAATTAAGAGGCAGCTGATGTGGGGTCCCATACAGGGTTTCTGGAGTTCTTATGTGCCCTTTGCGCAACAAAGAAAATTAATATTACAGACTCTATTTTTGGTGTATTTGTTGTACAATTCTGTATCACACTATTCTTTCCCCTACTCTCTTATTTTCACGTCTCGTTCTTTCTCTACGCTATTTCTATCATCTTTCTAACTTTCTCTGTCCTAGTGCTACCATTCACTCCCTCTCTTTACTATATTGCCAACTGTTTTTACTTTTCTTCCTTATAACTACTATCTTCTTTCCTTCTCCACTCCATTAATTCAATTGTTTTCCCATTCTATATCATTTATCGGTCGTCATCCTTCCTTTATTCTATTCCTTACATGTTACTTCCTTTCTTTACTCGGTTGTTTTACCTTATTAATTTTTTCTAATCTATTGCTACGCTATCTCCTCTGTTCTCTGCTCTTACTACCATTTCATTTTCCATTCTGTTCTATATTACTACCAGTTGTCGCCCTTTCTCTACTATTGCTGTTAATTCTTTCTTCCTTTTTCTACCTTTTATTGACTCTATCACTACCATCCCTTTCCCATTCGATACCAACTGACTACCTACCTCTACCATATTTCTTCTACTCTTTTTCTGTCTTTCTCTACTCTTTAATTACCATATGTTTTTCTTTCTATACTGTATTAACTTTCCTTTTCATCTTCCCTTTTCCTTCTCTTTTACTTCCTTAGTTAATCATGTCACTGCCCTATTACTACCATTTCTCTTTCTTTCTCCTCTCCATTCAGTACCATCTCTTTTCCCTTCTCTACTGCATTAATAAGCATGTCTCCTCCTTTATTCATGTCTGTGCCTTATTACTACCATTTTTCTTTCTTTCTCCTCTCCATTCAGTACCATCTCTTTTCCCTTCTCTACTGCGTTAATAAGCATGTCTCCTCCTTTATTCATGTCTGTGCCCTATTACTACCATTTTTCTTTCTTTCTCCACTCTATAACTAACATTTAACATTTCTCCTCCGTGTCCTTCTCTTTACTACCTTAAATCATCCTGCTTCTACCCTATTAAGACTCCCTAATTTCTCTCCCTTTTTTATTCTATAAGAATGTTCTTCTATCTCTCCCCTATCACTGCCCCTACTCTTCCTTTTCCCGATCTGTTACTTCCATTGTGTCTATCTTGACATGTGTCATGATATGATAAATGTTAACGAAGGGATATGTATCTATATTAAAGCTCCAAGGGTTTGAAGTACATGTAGTTTGCACGTAAAACCTAATAAGTGCATGTTAGTCAGTTATATTCATTTTCGAAACTTAACTTTTTTTCATGGACATGTCAATAATTTAAACAAAGCCGACCTTAATGCTTTATTGATTTTGTTTCATTCGACAATTAGGTTCTATCGAAAAGAATAATCTATCACCTAAATTTGTTTCATTCGACAATTAGGTTCTATCGAAAAGAATAATCTATCACCTATGTTGATATACAATGGAGATGCACTTTTCTAGCAAAATCATCAATCCTACCACACATAACATTTCCCCAGACGAAATATGTTATACCTTTTCTTAACGTGGTAATTGGTTTATAGTATGTGCTGCAGTAGTAATGTAATTCAAGACAAATTACTGCGTCCTTGAGAAACTCGTCACTCCATTAATAAAATATAAGATTAACAAATAATACTAGTTGGCTATCGACCGGTATTATGGACCAAACAACAGGCTGACCATTAATCTTCCTCCACATCTATCGATTAATCATGTCTTTGAAAGCATGTGCACGGACAAAAGACGTGTAGGATTACCTACTTTATCCTCTTTTATTGATTTGCTTTATTTAAACTATCCATATTCCAGCTGATCACTTTACGTGACAGGGGCTATTGATGGGCTTGGTATGGTCATTTGACTTCTTGATGAAAGAACATCACATCGCATCTATGTTGCTATACCTGTATTCCATTATGGTAGCTCTGATATTCTGGTCAGTGTGAGAGATAAACATAAAACAAACACGGATGATGTCACCATTACACTTCGACAATAGATATTAGATAGTGACGCTTAAAGACTTTAATATAGAATGTTTTACATGCACAACACATGCTATTCATTAGTTATATAAAGAATAGAAGTCTATATAATAATATCATAGTGTTTTTAGGGTTGTCAAACTGGACGAATTTTAGTTACCGGTTACTCGAGAAACCTTCCGACCGAGTAACCGGTTAATTCACGATAGTTTACTCACGTATCTCCAGCTCTCAACACCAAAACACAGAAAATATATAAGTCTATTTCGTTGGCAATACCGTTCAACATAAAGTGGAATACAAGTTATTTCTTCTCCACTTTGTTTATGTTTCACTGATGTATTCGATTCGGCACTCTTTGAAATTATTTTACGTCCCACACTTAAAGGCGAGATCTACATCACAAAGTTGGCACTTCACAACTCTGCAATCTGACTCCCTTTTAATCTGTTAAGGTTTTTATGGTGTGGTCGGTATCTCATTGTTAAGCCTTACTATCAAATACAAAAACAACACCCTCACAGGTCAGACTGAGCCCTGTTTATTTTGCCAGGTCTCATCGATAGCAAATTTGTCACCATGGCGCTCCCTACGGAAGTACATGAATGTCCGTTTATTCTGTTATTGATTTTGGTAACC